TATTACAATTATATTCAAACCCGTATATTTGAATCCGACATCTAATATCCCTGTTAGATAGGGATGATATGAATATGTGGTTCGATCTAGAAAAAGGTATTCAGAATTATAAATTATTTATTATTTAGTGAATTACTTAGTAATAGTAGTTAAAAATAGTAATTACCGTATATATTCCTATGATAGAAAATATCAAAAAAGATTTACAATTATTAGTATAATTTTTTTTGAGTACATATCTACTACACCATTATCTTTCATTCATATCTATTCTTCGAAGTCCTTTGGGGTTCGAAAGGATATTTCTATAAACTATAAGGGACTGTAATCTTAAATACACAAGTTTCTGTACTGAAATTAAAAAAGTTGTACCGTCCTTAATAACTAACTGACTTCTAATTGGCAAACAGACGCATAAATACTTTCGGTTGTTAGATAAACTTGAATTTTAGCGCAAAATTATGTATATTAAAGTTAGTAATTTGATAAAAGTTTTTGGTTGATGTTAATTTCAACTTGACATTTAGAATATGCATTTTTATTTAACGCAATAATGGTGGATGCGTCTCAAGTCATCCATGATTTAATTTAAAAAAACAAAATAAATTTACTACGCTTATAAATATGGTATTAAAATTGCGCACAATTTTAATACCATTTAGTATTCTCCACCAACTAAGTACGCAGTAAACACAGAAAGCACAGCTACAACTTAATATCTTAATAACTTAGGTATGTTTTCAGTAAAAACATCTGCTGTTCACATTGTTTACAGAGTATTCAACATGTGCCCTAGGAACGTGTCTAAAATGGCTGAAACCAGCTCGAATAGTGAGAATACGTGCTGAATGTATCCAATATTCTGAATGAACATTACCCTGGACTTGGCTCCAAGCCATGGTGTACAGACGTGAATGCTTCCGTTAGCATTTGAACAGTTAATAACCAGTGCAGCTAGAAATAGTGGCTTTAATATCGAACAATTTTATGATTCGACATTTCTTTTATTTGTTTTTTTATTGTGTAATAGTATGGGTTCTCCTGATGTTAAAGACCTAATCCTAGTTTAAATTGAGGACATTTTTTATGTAATTTGGAATGGCAAATAATCTAAGGGTCCACCTGATGGTACTTGGCAAATTAGATTGTTTTTGTTTGAGACTGAGGTACCTACCCACGCAGACGACTTCATAGAAAGTCTACCTAGGAAAATGTGTGTGAATAAATGTTTACATGTGACAATCATAAGGATTACTTCAAAGCTACCCTTATTTATTATTTCTCTATAATATGTATCAAACAATAATTTATTTATTTTAAAGTCAACATATTGGAATCAAATTTATCTGTGGAATGTATTTATTTACGTGCATTATTAGTACGTTATTAGAACATAGTTTTGCAGCTTTATATTTATTGTACATAGAGTGTTGTTTTAATTTTTTCGTTAATCTGAAGACTACCCTAAACATCAATTTATCATTTATGACACCTTCTCCGCATAATCACTTGTACCTACATACATATATACAACAACGTGCTCTGTCATCGTCGGAAAAGCTATAATGTCTGCCGTCACTGTGTATCTGTCCAAAACTCTATACACTTTATTAATAAATATCTGCCACATTTATTTTTTATGTAACTAGAGTGAGAAACAAGCCAACAAAAAAATTATAGTATTCAAACAATCGATCCAAACGCGTTTCAAAAAAGCAGCTCGGATAAAAATTTCATTAAGTAACGTAACCAGAGTATTCGTCTGTTACTTGATGAAATAGGGTCAGAATACTGTAACACAGGTTTTTTGCACAGGTTTTGTTTCAACAGTTTACTTTATTGTACTGTCTAAAACCTTTCCTAAGAGTACTAATAGAACAGAATAAATATATAAACCTTCTGATAAAAATTCTCGAATTTGATATAGTATTGCTGTTTAGAAGAAGTAGATTAACAGGAAATTACGAGTAATAATCGCATTCATAAATTAATAAACAAATCTCATTTCTTCTGTATATATATCAATAATGACATACCGTATCACTACGTTGTCATACAAAGTTTATGTACGTTATTAAAACTTTACTTCAATTAGTGAACAAAATTAAATTGGAACAAATATGCGTCAAACTCGAGGCAACGGAACAAATAACCACAACCACAAACTGTTTTGGCAGTTCTTGATGACCAACGTTGCACGGTGTTATATACGCAAACCTCTCGGGTGACGATTTCAGTGGATAGGTATCACAATAATGATTCGCAAAATGGTGTGGAATGCAATATGGAATATGACTTCCACAAATTACCAGCTCTATAGCAATTATATTTGCTGCAAAACATGTTGATTGAGGTAGTACTGATATGAAGTTATAACGAAATTTTTTACTGTAACTATGTTACTCACGTTGTAGCCAATACATGTTCCATCTTTCTGTTCTTGCTCTCAATATAAGTATACCTATTGTTTATTTAATAAACTCATATAATCAAATACCATTTAATAAATATAGAGATAATATTTTTTATGATATCGTGGGTATGTTGTAGTATTATCTATGGAATATCTATTGAATTTCTCTTCTTTAAAACATCGTTGAATTATTGAAAAGTACATAACACACCTTCATCAGTTGTCGTTTCTAGAAAAGGTTACTAGAAATATACATAGTATATTTTAGGCATTCTTCTAGCAACTTTGTTGTTATTACCGGAAAATAAAATAACACTATTTAATAATAACATTACAACCCATTATTATATCTTTACTGTGATTTTCAAAATTCATGAAAATTTAAAACTGTTTTTAGGGCATGTAAAACTGTTTTATATTATGAGTATGAACAATATATAAATATATTTTATATATTTATGTATTGTTCATACTCATATATAACAAATATATTTTTTTCACATGTTTACGATAAAATCTTTTAGTTGATGGAAAGAAAGTAATAGTGTATTCATTCTTCAAGTGTTTGTATAGGTTCGATCGTATAATATTGAAATCGTATAAGCTATCAAAGGGTTCGTAACAAGATATCAGCACTAGCAGAATATTCCTATAAATATTTGATATTCGAATATCAAAGAATCTACATGATATAGGAATTAATGTTGTAGAATGCGTAGTTTTACCAAGTATCTCCAATGCTATATGATCGAAACTGTTCTGAACTAAATCTTTATTTTCATATTACGATGACATAAGTTCTTTATCGTCAATATGTGACACGTTTCAAGAATTTGGTTTACGTGTCCTGAATTTTTAAATTAGGTGTAATGTTGGAATATTGTAGCGACGTAAAATATTCAGATAATAGGTACGTAGCAACTATCAAATTAGCATATTATAGAGTACTGAACATTCAAACATGACATTATTTTTAATGCACTTTTATAGGAGAGATATAGATATATCCATAGAGCAATATTCTTTTTTTTTTATTACACAATGGTGGCAAAAATCATTCGGCCTGTATTTCGATATTACTAGAGATGTCACTTGACATTGTTACATAATTTGTCAGCATGCGGAAGGACAAAGGTAACCAACATCAAAAAGGATGACGTTTGCAATTAAACTGTGCATTTTGTGTGTGCCAATACTTGATATATTTCCGAATTTATGCAGATCTGATACTGATGGTTCTTTATTCGTTTTGGTTAGAAGATTAAGAATAGAATTTTTAGAAATGTAAATTCTATGAAAAGTTACAAATAAAATAGCGATTTTAAATTCCGGAAGATCTTATCCAGTATATGGAGGTCACAAGAATTTATACTAGTGGTCAAATGAAGAATAGATTAATATTGTTTATCTTTTATATCATTTATTTAGTCTTGCTGAATGGCAAAGATAGCCATAATAAATTCATTTATTACAGTACATATTTCAGTTATTAAAGTATAATCTTTAACAATGGAATCTTAATAATGTTCTAACTTATAAGTTAAATTAAATTTGGTCGAATTTCGATTACTTGGTTGCCCACCACTAGTACCTATAAGTAATTTTAAATACCGATGATTTGATAAAAATATTGAATCGCCAATAGTGAAGAGCGACGATATTAAAAATATGAAATAAACCAACAAATTGTAATAGTTGATAATGGAATGGTGTACCCGCTAACCGTATACCTACGCAGGTGGAACACCAGTGGATGATGTTAGGTGGAAGATGAAGTCCCCATTACTAACAATCTCTTCCCCCCTGTCAACTATTCACGAAGCTACATAGACATGTAAAACTTTCGGTTAATCAATTCAAAGCAGATCGGAATTAATTCAAGTACGGAGGGAATGGCAGCGTTGTAATGTTACGGCAGGACTGCCTTAATTGGCATTATTCAAGCGAGCGACGTTTTAGTATAATGATTATATTAAATGTTAGTTAAAGTTCAATCTATTGTCTGTAAAACAAATATTTAAATCTTAATACTTAATCTGTCGTTTATTCAGAATCGGATTAGGAATTTTTAATTTATTTGAAAAAGGACAAAGGCTGATTTGTTATTTTTACTATCAGAATCTTTTTTAATACTAAATTAATTTGGACGGTTCTTTTTTATAAGGGATGGGTAGGTGTACTATGTTCAAAAGTGTCTTCTGGTACAATAGTCTGGTTGACTGATGTCGCACTGTGATAGATAGAAATCCCTATGCAAGAGAAGGAAAACTCGTAATATAATCCTATAGTGTTGAGAAGGGGATTGTCTGAAATTGACTATAGGGGCCTCCTTGTTAGCATTGGTACCATGAAATAAGTATACTGTCGGAGATAAACTTTCTACCAAGTCGTCTGCGTACTTCTGTCTGACCCATTTCCACCCCCAAACAGCTTGCTTTGTAAATTTTACCTGATTATTTTTTAAATATTAACTCTTGTGAGATGTCGTTCCGGTAAATTGTATCTATATTTTATTTACCACATATTTTTTTAAAACCGATATAAATAATATAATAAAGTAAAATAAATAATATTATTCCCAACTTACCTATCATTATATCCCGCGAAAGACTTCTTATAAGCCGACCGCCCAAATAATACTTTTAAAGTTTCTTTCACAGGGTATTCTAACGAGAAAAGTAAATCGAAACACAAAATTAATTCAACAATACATTATCAACTCAAAATGTGAAGTTATTCTCATTTATCAAGAGAGGATGCCTTGCTACAAAATTCAAGGTAAATATTGGGTAGTTTACGCCAAGAGTGTCCCGAACCGACTGAATGTATCCGGGGTGGTTTTTCCTAGCATTTTCCATGGAGGCAGAATGCTTCGCTTGACGAAATTTATTACTTTAACACCCTGTTGTTAACTCCGAACAGCGCCATCTACATTGTATTTGTTACGGACAGCGCCATCTATGGATATCTTCTGCAACTAAAATGATTATTTCCGGATACGACGTGCAGAGGTAGTTGCAATGTGCTTTCAAATAGCAGTCTGCCAGTAAGAAAATGTTTGTGTAAGTAACAGATACTTTCGGTATCCAATAAAAGATGACACTAAGGTACCAATAATAGTAAAGCCTTGTGTATTAACTAAAAATCCTATATTAAGATAATAAATCATTAATGATTTTCCGTGAAAGATTAAATAATAATAATAATATGTTAAATGCGTTGTTAAACTACATGTATACTATATTGATATATAATACTACTCATGGTTAGTAGGATAAGAGAGAAAAGGGAATTGTCAGTAATAGCACAGATAACATAATATTGTAATAGGGACTAGTGGGCCCATATTTAGATATATATAATGTCAGAGCCATGTTGCTGCTGTTCTACCTAAAATTCAGTATGGTTAATTCCTGTTGAATATGTGACCTGACTTACTTCAACATTATGCTATTAGTTTCTACCAGCATCCACTAGTACACACTGTTTGCATACGCGAGGGTACACTGTTCCATCACCATCTTGTAACATATGAAAACATAAAGATCATTTGGATAATTGTATGCAAAACAATGTAAATATGTATATATAAAAGAGGGAAAATCCCAGCAGACATATACATAACTAAATACATATACATACCTACAAATACACGCATAAGTCCTTATTTATATACTATCCATATATCATACATGAAAGGTCAAGTATATGTAATATGTATATAAGTAGATAAGTATATGTCTATTATTATTAATAGTGTATTAGTATGTATATTCAATACAGATGGAATGGAACATATTAATGTTGGCACTCGAAACTAACTTTGTCCTTATAGTGCAAACTTACACTTTGGAATCGTAATTAAGATGAAATATTTCACCAATTTACCTTACGATGCGATGGTAACAGATAAAGCTTTCTTTTTAAATTTTAGTTTAGTCAACAATACAGTAATACAGTAAATATATAACCACAATTTTTAGACATATCTGTCGGCCCCACCTTTTCTATGCAATTATCTGACAAGTTTCCAAGTTGTTTGCTGCATGAGTTTTGTGAATGGCAAAATGTTCTGCAATAGCTGAAGTCTTACGTGTGTTTTATCAACCTTGAACCTTTCGCAGAAAACCTCTGGTAACCTCACCGTAGAAATACAACGTTGCGAAAATGGCGTTATTTATAGTAGAGTACATCCAACATTCTTATAATAATAAATAATAATAAAGACATTTATTCAGCATTACAGTATTCTTAGATATATACTATCTTACATATCTATACAACTTAAAAGCTAAAATATAAAACATATATAACGCTGAATGTATATGTCTATTATTTATACTGCAGTATATATATATTATATACCACAGTGGAATGATTTTCAGTGGTTGGCACCACACACGAGAGAGCGTTATAGTAAAGATTACTAAAGAAAATAAAACGTTAAAATTATGACCACTTTATAAATAGGTATGAAAATGTATGTGAAGATAAATAAAATTTTAATTAATGTATGTATTTAGTATATTACTGTATATTATTTAATATATAACCACTATTTTTGAGATATTTATTATAATAAAATTTATTAATAATATTTAAATATATAATGTACATAAATGGTGTAGTTGGTAAATGTTTTAGATGCTTAATATTATATGTGTTTTATCAATGATTTTTCGTTCTTTAAAGACCGTAGAAATAAACGTTGAAAGAAAACTGGCGTTATTTATAGTAGAGTACATCCAACATTCTTATGCTGTAGTAACACTCCACAATTTGTTTTTGGAATGTTATAATCAGTTATTTTATTGGATTAAAATTCAGTGGTGCATCCAAGTAAGCTGATAGTCTACATGAGCAGATCAATAATGAAAGACGATAAAATATGCAAAAAATAAGTTCATCATAACGAATTCATCAAGAAAAACTGTAAGTTTTCAGCAAAGATTGCTTGGAGGTCGACCTGATGAGACCATATATTCTGAGGTCAATGGTTCTACGGGAAAAAGGGGTTGTTAGTAATATAAATAATGAAATAAACGGGAGTTGTATTTATAGAAAATTGGAATTCATTATTATAAGTCCGGTGAAGCTGTAGCATCAAATGTTGTTTAAAATTCTTTCTCGCTGGATACTTGTATGTTTTCTTATTCCTTTATTAATATGATTACTTTCTTTCCAATTAAAAGCATCTATCGAGCTATGTAACCTCTACGACGCATATAAATAACCGTGTACATATTGTACAAAACTCAATGAAATACTGAGATCTGACATGGCTGCTGAGAATACCTCTGACTAGCTCAAATGGTATAATAGTCGCGAAAGTATATTTACACATTTATATTCCTGAATTGTTTTCGTTATCAATCTTCCATAGGCAACAATCACTTTCCTTCAATATGAGTAATATTGAAGGAAAGTGAATGTTAGTAATAGTATGTAATATTATGTTATCTGTGGTAATAGGTACTAATGACCTCATTGCTAGCAATGTCTACCTACCTGTCCTGTCCTACTGGAAACCATCATGATAAATATCTGGTGAATTTGCCACAATGGGCTAACTGGCCTGACATCATGCTCATCCTACCATCCTCCACTGGTACACCTCCATCGTAAAACGTAAGCGCAGGTGCATGCACTATGCCAGTAAAAATACATTTAATATATAAAAAGTACATATATATATACTCATATGTACTTATATGTATATACAATGGTATAATTTTGCAACAAAGGTAGGTAATAGAATACTGCTGAAGTAAGAATCCCTCCTTCAGTGAACAGAACATGTGCACTCACTTAATCTTTTCTAATGTCCATTTGGGTGTTTTAATTGTGGTAGCCAAGTTTCCCTCACGAAATCTATTAAAGATCCTATAATTTACACCAGATATAAATCAGTTAAGTGGTCGGTACCACCTAATTGATATCATTCAATTTGTTTTGTTACTATGAATTATAACAGGGTAGATAATTTATGGATTTTTAATATCACTTACATATGTATATATATATATATTATTCCATATTATCAGATATACTTTTTTTATTACTAGATGACTCGACAAATGTTGTTCATACAAATTTACGACTAAATTATTAAAAAGAGCAACACGCAAGTTTCATGCTCATGTATTTTACATATATATTTTTTCGTAAATACATACATATTATACACATAAAGTACTCAGACAGATACAAACCGTCATACTCATGAATACAAATGTTTGCACCGTGCTAGGAAACGAACCCCCGACCATAGGAAGTTCAGCGGTGCGCTGTGCTAAACGAGATGACAAATATTTTATAGGAATGATAATGAAATGGTTCATCCGCCTGCGCTAACGGTGCACGATGGCTGGGCTTCAGTGATAGGATGGAGCATGAAGTTAGGTCAGTTAGCCCATCGTGACAAATTTATTAGAAACTAGCTGCACCCGCGACTTCGTCCGCGTGGAATTTTACTTCATTTTTCTAAAATAAAGGTAGCCTAAATTTCAGCCAGATCCCTGTTAAAGACTTTTGAGCCCTTGTTTCTCTCAATAGCCTCCTTTACACAATTTGTGTTAAAGTGGCGTAAGTCACGAGTCAAGGACTTAGAGATCTGCCTGCTAAGTTGCCGATACTGAGAAGCGTCAGTCGGAGACTGCAGGACCATACTTCGCCTTTCATCCATCAATTTGAGGGTAGAGATAGATATTTTTTCGGTTCTTTCTGCGCGGCGGGTTTTGAAGTGCTTAGACCCAGCCGCACGGACAGTTTCCACGAACCTGTTGTTGTAATCGTCCACGTCAACGCAGTCACCAAGGCTTTCGAAACGGTTTTGCAATTCTAGCTGAAAGCTTTCGGGGTTTTGGATCTGTATAGGTGTAGGGCGGAGCGTAGATTTCATCAGTCGGGATCGTTCGAATTTCAGATTCAGATTCAATGTGCCTCTTACAATCCGGTGATCACTTCCAATTTTGACGGCATTGATCACAGAGACATCATTGAAAATCTGTCTTCTCGTTGACAAGATGAAATCTATCTCGTTTTTTGTGGCACCATCGGGACTAATCCACTTCCATTTCCGGTGTTCCGGCTTCCTGAAGAAGGAGTTCATCATAAAGAGGTTCTCCTTCTCCATGAAGTCGGCCAGCATTTGACCTCGGAAGTTCCGATCACCGATACCAAATTGCCCCACTCTCAGCTCATCACCGCTTCGTTTGCCCAATTTTGCGTTAAAGTCCCCCATGATAACGTTATAATGAGTCTTTGTACTATGTATGGCTCTGGAGATATCCTCATACATAGCCTCAACCTCATCGTCGGAGTGCGTCGAAGTTGGAGCGTACACTTGGATGACCTTTAATGAATACCGTTTGGTAATTCTGAGTATCAGGTACGCTACCCTAGTCGACACGCTCTCGACCTTGATAACATTATTCACAAGGGACTTGTGGACGAGGAACCCGACACCGCCTTGGGACAGTTGATCGCCCTCCCGGAAGTAAAGCAGATTGCCCGATTTCAGGACTATCGAGTCCTCCCCCTTCCTTCGGACTTCAGATAATCCCACGACATGCCAGTGCAATCTGCTCAACTCTTCCTCCAGTTCAATTAACTTTTCGTCGGTCCGCAGTGTTTGAACGTTGTATGTTGCCAGGGCCAGTGGTCGTCGTTTGTGGTAGCCTGGTCTTACCCGGAGATTCTTCGCACCCCCTGCCCCGCCGTTTCCATGACCGCTACCATGATCAAGACTAGCGGGGCCGCCGGGGACTGGGGGCCGGGGCCTTGGGTGTAAATTCATTTGGGGGGATATTGCCATAATCGCCACGCTTGGCATGCGGGTTGGCGATCGCAGTATGATGGTAGTTACTCAGTAGGACGCTGCTGCCCGTCCACTGGTCGATGAATCCCTTAGTCGCCTTTTACGACACCCACGGGAAGAGAGGGGGTGGTGCTATTCTTACAGCGACACCACACGCTAAATTAGCTAATAAAAAAAAATCCCGTTAAAATCGGTCCAGCCGTTTCAGAGATCAGCCGGAACAAACAGACCGACAGACAGACAAAAATTTTAAAAAGTGGTTGTTTGGTATGTGTATCGTATTTATATTCATATGTATGTAGTAAAATACGGTTATTTCAATATTACAAACAGACACTCCAATTTTATGTATATGTATAAATTAATCACGATAGTTTCCAGGAGGATATGCGTGGAGGTCAACCTGACATGGTCCTTGCTAGCAATGGAGTCATCAGTCGACATTCCTAACAAGCACCTTTCAGGGAGATAAGCGCTTGTAGTAACGTGGACGTCGATATGAGGGCGGTTTTTTAAGGGTTGTTAAAAGAAAATTACTTTTTTTTTGGGCTAATGGTATACGCTGGCGGGGAACCAGTGGAGGAGGGTAAGATGGGTAAGAGTGACCTCTTACTCATCTTACCATCCTCCACTGGTTTTTGGTCAGTTAACCAATCGTGGCAAATACAACAGGAATGCAACATGATGGTTTCCAGGAGGCACATAATACATCACCAGCAATGGGGTACTAATAATCACCTTTCCCCCATCGATAACAGACCACTTAGCTTTTCCATAAAAAAACTGGAAAATGAAGAGAATCAATTCTATTATTCTCAGTATAGACAGTTATTTGATAATTGAGATACCAAAAGATCCGGAAAAGTTTAATGCAAATTTTATTCAAGGTTTTAACTGATTTTGATAAATGTGTCATTTATTGGTGTCACCGCGGCTGGTGCCATGACCTTGGTTTATGGTTTGACGTTTACGATTAGTTTACGATACATGTCAGTTTGACAGATACATTAATTATAATTAAATTCCCTGTACTCTAGGTATATGCCGCGGATAATTCCATTATAAATAAAATTAAATAAATAACATATCTAGTCCCGCGGTAAGCAGAGTGCTTGTGTAATGGGCACTAGACAATTGATGGGCACGAGACAATAAATACATAGATACTTTTTAAAATAATAGGTACATACATTATATACAAGGAGGAAAGGGATTATTAGTGATGTGGATTGATGATCTTATTGCTAGCAATGTATCATGTCAGGTTGACCTCTACGCGGTAACCTCTGGAAACCATATTGATAAATTCTTGGTAAATTTGTCACGATAGGCTAACTGACCTGACCTCATGCTCATCCTATCATCCTCCACAGAGCCTAGCTAGCGTAAACCGGTGGTGCAGGTGGGTACACCATTCCATCATCCATTAGAAATAAGCGTAGATAGTAAAACCAGCCAATACATTCTTCCATTATATGTATTTCATCTTCTGCATACAGTACGTATCCATACAAAATAATCGTCTCCTATATACAATTATACATAAACAGCACCATGGATAACACGTTATAATGTGAAGTCTGTAATACCACTAATCCATAGTTATTCTGAAGAAAACATGCTTCGAAATCTATAATTAACCGCAACACATATACATAGACAATACCCAGACGGATACAAACGGTCATAGTCTTCAATACAAATGTTTGTACCGTACGAGGAATCGAACCCGTGACTATCAGAACTAAAGCGATGTGCTAAACCGGAATTATAGAATACAAAATCGTGGATGGAGGGGCGGACTGTGATTGTTAGTAATGTGGATTTTTATTCCCTTTCGTAGCAATGTACTACGTTAGGTTGACTTCCAAACCATGATGTTTAATTCCTGGCGAATTTACTACGATGGACTAACAGATGTAACCTCATACTCATCTTATCATCTTCCACTCAGTGCCCCGCCAGCGCATGCTGTTAGCGCAGGCGGGAGCACAATTCTATTGTCATCAATTTAAAAAAGCGTGGATAGTAAAACCACTACGCCGCGCCACGACGTTCATCCATTGTTTGTATTTCTTCCTCTACGGGTACACATTTATTCACCGAGTACTCATTATGAGATGTGTGTGCGAATCGACCCAAAAAAATATTAGGTATTTTTAAAAGGTGTAAATTTGCACATTCCATGTCTGGCGCACGTGTGTCATGCCATTTTATAGGCTTTCTATCCTACTTCTAGCTTTAATTATAGGTAGGTGTTTCATTAGTATTGATTATGGACATTGTTTTTCTATTTCCGCTATTATTTCACTTGTTCAAAGATGGCTGCTTACTGTGAAGACTGGCTTTGTATATTTAATTCACATCTTTGCTCAGTATAAAATATAGATATCGGCGCTGTTTTTTCGCTTAAATCTTTTAAATTACCCAACGGATTTTTTTTTATGCAATGTGAATGACACACAAGCTACCGGCCCACTGGATAGTAAGCGGTAACTGTAGTATATGTGGATTAATACACCAATGCTAGCAATGTACCATGCCAGATAGACCATCATGTTAAATTCTTGGTGAATAGGTATTCCATTATCATCCATTAAAAAACGGTTACATAATACATAAACACCACTAAAGCCAAAATACATTGTCATTTTACACCCCTGAAGCACTGCGTCGACAATTTACCATAGGGGGAAAGGGGATTGTTAGTAATGTGGACTGATGATCTTATTGCTAGCAATGTACCATGTTAGGTTGACCTCCACGCGGTTCCCCCTGGAAACCATTGTGATAAATTCTTGGTGAATTTGTCACGATGGGCTAACTGACCTGACCTCATGCTCATTCTTATCATCCTCCACTGGTGCCCCGCCAGCGTAAACCGTTAGCGCACGCGGCTGCAACAATCCATTATTATCCATAAAATAAAAACAATTTACCATGTTAGGTTGACCTCTACGAGGTTTCTCCTGCAAACCATCGTGTTTAATTCTTAGTAAATTCATTACGATTGGCTAATTGACCTGTCCTGATATTCATCATATCATCCTGCACTGGTTCACCGCCAGTGTAAACCGTTAGCACAGATGGGGGCACAGTTTTGTTATCGACAAAAAAAATATCTTGTGTTGCGTTGCTTGAGTGGACTAAGATGACATAGCTCTTATCCTTACTGTTACAAAGTAAGTTGCTTGGCGGCTGAAATGGGAGAAAGTGAGGACCCACCTGACGACTTTTTATAATCTCTCTTAGTGGTTTTATAGGTGTTACTTAAGAGTTTGATATATATTTGTAGTGTACACACTATGACCACAGTAATATTTAGATAACAACAGCTATTTCACACTATCAGTGTGGTGCACGCTTCGCTGCAGACTGCGTGCTGCATAGATCTCAAGGACGCCGATGATAGTCTGCCTACTACTCATGCTTCGATAAAGTGTGAAAAGAATTTCGGCCTATTATAAAAGTGAGCGAAGTCGAACCGAGTGGCGGCGAGTGTGGCCGAGATGGCAACCGAGCGCGGTCACACGACGCCACTTCTCTATCAGCGCCCTCCGCCTCCCTCCGCCTCCCTCCCGCCTCCACGGTCATCGCGGCGCCCGCTGAGCGGAATTCGCACGAGCGTCGCGCCTCGCGTCTCCGCTTCACTCAGTCAGTTCAGTGTACGTGCGACCGTTCGCGGCCGAGGACGATTTGCCGCGCTACGCAACACTCGGCTTATTACGCAGTTGGTACTATCGCTCACCGCGTGGACATTTCCGAACGAACTTCAAAGTGTACCTTCTGTGTCTTTCGCGACTACCGCAAAAGCAGACAATTTGTATATTATTTGAAAATAAGACTCAGTGATAACTCTTATCAGAGTGGAAAAGTTATAAAGTGTTAACCGAACTTGAAAGGACACCCGAATTTACGCAGTGGTAATATCTATAATAGAGACCGTTGACGGTGACGATGAACGTATGAGAGACAGAATTTAGTGTTTCGAGCCACGTTACAAGGTTATCGCGCTTCTAGCCCGCCAGTGATGAATTGGAAAATCGGCGCGTAGTCGCTCACGTGGTCGCGCCCCGCCCCCGCCTCGCCCGCGCTTATATTTAGCGAAAATCGCCTCTCGGGAGCGGCCCGACGGCTGAAGCTCTCTGCGCACATCGCTGTTTATGAACAGCGAGACGCCACATGTTATTGGCTTCGAATAACATTGCCGATAAGGACAAGACAGATAACCTCTCCGGATCACGGTTCGACTCCGACAACGTTCTGGAAATAGAAAGAAATCTGTTGAAAATCCGAAAGGAGAGCACGCTGAGATGCTAACGGCCGGTGTCGGCACGCGCCGGTGAGCGTTCCGACCGACACACCTACCAAAAAATTCCACTGATCGAAATCGAGGCGTAGAAATGTCTATACAAGGGGGCGGCAGTTACCACAGCCCGTGGTCTTCACAGACCGGGCTTGCAGAACTAGAAGGTGTGGGTGAATTAGAGCCATTGGGGGAGTTGGCCGATGCAGGATTTGAGCCACAAACTCGAGCGCGCTCCAACACGTGGCCTTTGCCAAGGCCAGACAATTACATAGAACCGGGAGATGAGACGGGCTCCAAGAAGAATTCCAATCAGAATTTGACCGGTAAATATCACTTGTTCAACTGAGCGATAGTGGGGTCGTGGTAGCGATACGCGCAGCTATTTAGGTCGCCCACGTCCCAACGCCCCGTTCGTGTATGAGTCCAATAACAAAAAACATTGAAGAAGTCATGATATACGCTATAAAAATAATGAAAATAACGCTCACATAACGTCAACCCAAAACTGTAGCAAATTTTTGTTTGTTTACAATAACAGACTAAGAGATAGCGAGTTCGCGAAAATAACTGTTATCTAATACAGTACCTATCTTCACGGAAAATAAACAATAATACATAAAGTATCAAAAAAAAAAGAAATAACGATACACGAATATTCTGCTTCACAAATATCTACAATACAATGTCTACGTTTACTGCTACTGCTCATTACTGCGTCATCAATAAGATTTCAAGCAAATAATTTATAATATTTTTTTAATCCTATATTAACTACGTCATGCACCTCTTTATCAAATATACTACTATATTTTTCATTGAATGTTTTGAAAATAAAAAACAATAAGGTATCCTTACCATATTTTACAGAAAAACAGGACGTCTAACCTGCTCTGCTATTATACTCGTTCATTCAATCTGTTGTATTAAAATTATAAATATTTCTCATGAACTTATTATTTTACGTTCCAAAGTATAGTGTATAGATAAAAAGCTACCTACCTAGATGCTAAGTTTACAATTTACAAAATGTACTCTAAAATTGACATTTAGAACAAAATCATTTTATCTAAAATTATATTAAGACATCAAATACTTACATAGTTGTTAAGAAGTCCAAATTTAAAATTCCTTACTACCAAAAATAGGCATATACACGTTCTCCTAAAAGACAGTTCAAAGAAACGACGTATAACACTTTTAGACAAGATACAACTTATAAAAATATTATTAACAGAAATGTACAAATTTGTAAAAAATCGTATTTATTGTGACAATAAATTATAAGTCACTATGATTCTTGGACGTATATTCTCTGTGTGTGAATGAAATATTTAGTAAAAAATGACCGTGCTAATGGTATAGTATGTATACATATAAAAAGATCGTACCATTATTAGATACCTTTGAGTATCTAAATTATATATCGTACATAATAGCTCCATTCAGGCGTTAGAAATTCACACTATTTTGAATATCTTTTAAAACCGATTGTTTACAAAACAATCCACTGTAAACTCATCCAAACTCTTGTACACTCGATTACAGCATTATTCTAAGTTCATTTTAAGTTGTTTTTAGAATAAACTCTTCCATTGCTCTATAAATCAATTTAAATGAACTAACACAATGCAATTACTGAAAAAGAAATAAGAGTAAAATCCTATCTATGAGCCAAGTTCTTACTGACTAATATTCAATATCTGACTTTTGACTCTAAGAAAATAGTGTTAGTTGGTGGTTTGTATTCACACATTTTAACTTAACAATTCAAGTTACAACTAAATTATTTAAAAGTGCAACACTAAAATTTTTTGCTCATTGTTCTTGTGATGAGACAGTATTCCGAATGAGGGGTAAATTCAAAATATAAGTATGACGACTAAAAAATGCTTAAATGCACATTTATTTGAATTGAAAGCTTTTTTATTCTTTTCTACTCAATTACTGCATCGTTGAATGAAACACATTCATACTTAATTTAATTTACAAATAAACGACGATGATAGTCGGCAGTTCTAACAAATTAATAAATTCTTAATCAATCAATTATATAAAGAAATGTTAACATCCGTGCAGAATTCGTGATGAACAAACGATATTATGCAATACAAAAACATTTGTTGTTGAGACCTGGCAAGCTATCTGCGCTTGACTGACACTAAAATAGTAACCAAAACTATATATATTTTATTCATTGAACAAACCTGGATTAAAAAATATGTATACACACAAAATATGAATTGAACTGAACAAAAATTGAAAAAAACAAATTCTGACTTACTATGAATAGTCACGATTGACACAATTTAAGATTCATTTTGTAAATGTGAAATTTTCTAATAATACGATGAACTTCGTTAGTCGATTTCATGAATTGAATTAAATGGCGATTCCGTTTCGATACTTAAACGTATATTTGTCACTGACGATATTAATAATGAATCGTCAATGACAAAGTTGTATGTGTACAGACTAAATATTGTTCAATGCTGTAATTTCATTTCTGATTTCACTGACGAAAATTACAAGGTTAAGTCAATCTATTCCGGGATATAGCGGTATATTAGAATTTTCTTCATGTATTTAGCCTTTCTCAGTAAATACACTGTTTCAGGTGCACCTCCATTGCCCACAGCGGTGACAACTAAGAAAAACTCCTCCCGTCGAAACGCATGGGGCAACCTTTCCTATGCTGATCTCATAACACAGGCCATTACCTCAGCTCAAGATAATAGGCTAACGTTGTCGCAGATCTACGAGTGGATGGTTCAAAATGTGCCATACTTTAAGGATAAGGGTGATAGCAACTCTTCTGCTGGATGGAAGGTAAGGATTTTTTTCTAATTATTATTTTATATAATCCTTAAATACTATAATAGATTTCAAATAGTAATTAGTATAAACAAAACATTCCTTTCAATTTTGTAGGAAATACATATGGCATAGTACTAAAGAGGTTTACTGTGTTACCTTTAAAAATTGAAAAGATTATATTTGCTTTTGAGATTGGATATGTATCAAAGATTATTTTAATGTCTAATCAATTTTTATTTAACTAAGTAGTTGGTATTATTATAATAAATTATTGTTAATCTGAATCAATCTTTAATAAAACTAGCATTACATTTGTAGTAATCGTTATAGACATTATTATGTAGTAGATTTATCTATTTGCAACTGTTTACATTCTGTCTGCGACGCTTTTCCGCGAACGAAGAGCTATTTTGTTTGAAAATTATTTTTAAGGGCATTCCTCAGGTGATTCATTTTGGCTTAAGTCCACTGCTGAGAAATAGTAGCAACACGTCATTCATACGCAGTCGGGTACGAAATCATTGCTGTTACATCTAAATGCATCTCGTACTTTTACGCACTTATCACTGTCAGTTCCAAATGTATTTTCACCTATCTACGTGATGGGACATCAGCCATTTCGTATTAATGTTGCGTATTTACATTGATTTATAGTTTTTCAAAAATCGTTTATCTGTTGAAAATCCCTACAAAATTATGAGAATATTTGTTATTTTTTATTATGTTGCTTATATTATATGTGTTACATATTAGGTCATATGTATTATTAGGTACATTTATGACGATAAATGTCTGTATGTATCATTTGGAAAAATCCTGATTTTAGATGTTTCATTAAATGTATTCATAATATGAATTCAACAATATTATTATTTTATATGATATAACGTTAATATAATATTCAATACAAGGATTTAACATGCATTAGAACAGTACATATATATTTATTGTATTAAAATATGTTGGTTTCTAATAATTACTTAATTTTTCCTCTTGTAGGTAGGTACCATGATTATCGTCTACCGTACAAGAATGACGCTATTTATTATTTTAAGTATTTCCTTGAATTGTTCAATAGTACGACAATATTTGATGTACAATATATTCATCTTTTAAATAGCGTGTCTAATATTTTTTAGTGCACTTTTGTAATGAAACAGTACATGAAGAAATAGAACTATTGTAATATTACTATCAATGAAACCAAATTATTTTCCTTAAGACAATAATAATAATATTAAAACGTAAAGTCTTCACTATTTCTGTATTTAGATATGGAATTGTAAAAATTGTGTCAAAGCAGAAAAAACTATACAAATGCACTAGGTATATTATAGTAAGAAGCGCTACGCATTTCGTTGTACTTACTGCGCAGTGGCATTTGCTATCTCAATCCAAGCTCTGACACGACCGATATAAATGATAATAAAAAACACTATTACACTCAATCCTCAATTTATATAACGATATAGCCCATATATATTCAGTACATTGCCGACACTAAAAGCGCGACTCGTAAAACGATGCCACGGAACCCGTCAATGGATTTGACATTATGAAAACTATCCAAATTACAACCACAACGTGTGGTCACATGACGTTGACACGCCTTCGCCGTTGACTCGAAAAAATAGATTAATTCTGTTTCTCATTTCAATCTTTTCACATTATTTGCGTCTTAGCGATTTCATCTATCGAAATATCTAGCTTATTGAAGATTTAGGTACAGCCGCGAACTCGACGACCTTCAAATTGGTATCCATGGCATTGATTAATGTTTACGCATACAATGCCCATTCAATAGTAGGAAAATCATCATACAAATGTAAAGACTGTATTCGTAGATATAAAGTCTAGAATCGAACTAGCATCTACTATGTCATTGTAAGTCTAATTAATTAGCAAATCGTGGAAATCGTGCGTCTCTATCCAACATATGTATACTTTTAATTTGAAAGAAAGAGAGACCTAATATGTGACACCTAAGTAAGCAAGGTGAATGAATTTTCAATTATTAACAGGTTTACTAATTCTTTTCGAATAGTTCAAAAATATTTTTCAATCCTTCAATAGATACATATGAAATCGCTATGAAAACACTTAAGAGTTATCACAGCAAGGGGTTTTTCCAACGGTAAAAATAATATTTCATACTATATTTTAAGATAATTTAGCGATATCGGATTCAAATCTGAACGTATTCTGCTGATTCTTTTTTAAATCGATCGTTCTTACTCTATTAATTTTTTACTAATTTGACGTCATGTTTGAACACTTTTGTAGAACAAGATATAATGTAAATGTTACATAAAAAAAACGAGAAAATGAAAACAAAACATCACATAACATGACGTCTTAAATTTTCAACATCCCATGCAAGGTCTTTTATGTAGACATTTTTAAAATCCCTATATTATAGTATCTTTGATTTAAATAAGCTAATAAATTATAACCTACACATATACACTTGCACTTTAAATTGATATACATAGTTCTAAAACGCTTAAATTAATAGCTGAAATAAATTTATCAGACGTTTATAGTTTTTATAAATAGTTGAGGTGTATTCTTAATGCGTTATACTCAGGTTAATAAGTAGATGTAAAGAGAAATAAAGTAATTATAAACTAACAGATAAATTCGATTTCATGACGTCTAAGTAAAAATTTCAGTTCCCGAAATAATAACGATTCTAAATTCGACCAGGGCTATACGTTATTACTATGCCAAGTTTTCTATTATACACTCCTCCAATAGTTACCGCGTGATCTGTGTACAGATGGACAACATGTTTTTACAGTTCTGTTATTATCACCTATAATAGATTTTGCTCAAGAAATACACGTTATATTAATGAAAAACCCATTTTCTAGAAATAATGATGAGTACTAAGTTACATCACATTTGAAGGTAGTATTTGTACAGTCGTTTGTGTCATTTGTATGACAGATGTCAAGCATCTGACAACCTAGTCCTCTAAAACGAGAGCGTCACGTGATTTCCGTGTTTCTGGGGGTCACTTACCTTCAAGTGAGCATTCAACTCGCAGCCGATTCCTTAATTATATGAAAAATCAATATCATTTTAATTAGAATGATATAAGTAATTTCTTTCTTAATTTAAAAAAGTACTGAAAATGTAGAGTAAATTTGTGTCTAACAGGTTGAATAAATCTATAAAACTATAATACTATCACAGATACGTATACTGAAATCACCATATCATTTTTCCTTTCGCTTGTCTAAAATTTTGTAGTAATGTAATTTAACCATCATCGCCTTGTAGAGTAATAGTCCGATATTTTTAATTTAAAATCTAATAAATCGGATTGATTTGTAGTAATCACGTAATTTTGACAGCAATTTGTCATAGTTTTTACCCGCGAGTTTATTCATGAATAGAATAACTTTATAGACTGGCTCGTACTATTTATGTAAAAAATTGCATTTACTTCTATTTTTTAAGTTGATAAACTAATATGTAACTGCTCACGTGGGCTAGTCGGAAACACACTAAGTGTTAGTTATGTTCATTAGGTCATATATTAGAATATAAAAAGTCAAAGGTTAAATAAAAATAACATATAGTTTACATAAAATGTGTCATTGATGACTATTCTACCTATAGTCGACGGGTAGTGTAAAGTGTTTGAGTATACAAATCTAAGTATATGTGGTTGTTATGAAAATATTAAAGAATTGAAAAGTCTATAAAATTAATATTTTATTTGACAACAAATATTAATATTGTACAATCGGATCTACAGACGCCACTTCTGATTAGCCAGTATAGTATATATGCTGAAACGTTCAGAAAGGTATTTATTATTCTAAATTTGTATTTGAATTTATACTTCTTATATTGTATATTCGTATTACACGTCAATGTCTTGACAATCGTTCATAATTGTGCGTATCTCCGTATTCCAAGTCTTGTATTTTCTTTTTACCTATTCACATATGAAATAAAACTACAACACACTCCCGATACGATGCAACCGACAGGCTGAACTGTAAAGTCAAGATTCTATTGGTCCTCTCCGTACATACCAATTTAGTTATTTGTACCAACCTCATAAGTCATAATAGCAAGAATTGATTCTTTATTATTATAGTATTAAAATTTGTAAATCCCAAATATTTTTTTCTATTTGTATAACGCAGTACTTCTAGCTGTGTTAGATTGGCTAGAAATAGGAATATTTAAATCGAGAATCATAAGTAATTTTCTTTTACATTGAACATTATTTTCTTATGGATTTCGTATATTTAAATATACAAATCTGTAGAGTTCTATATTTCACCACATAAAGATGGTTACAGTTGTCATATTTTTAATTTTGTTCAACCACAAAATAATAACACTTATTAATTACCAAATTAATATATACTGAATTTTTAAAAGAATAAGAATAATTATACAACTGATCAGTGATGCATAGAATCACGCTTCGATAAAAATATTCTGGGTTTAGACTAACACGACCACCATTCAGTTGTTTGAAATTGGCACAAATATTTGCCATAGCGTAGATTTAAGAACAGAATTCGCATTCCCCATATCGATGTCGCCAGCGAGTCCAACTGAATAGTAAATGACCGCAACCGTTATGTAGAACCGTTAGCACACCTCCACAAAATCTCTCGACATCCTTGCTCTGTCGATAGCACCTTTAATACTACCGATTCTGTGGACATTTAATAATATTTCCGTTACATAAGACCTTTTTAAAATCCGGTAATTACCTCTATATATTTTTTAACGGCCTTTAGTGCAACGGCGGCCTGTTCTTTGTGTTAAAGACATTCCGGATATGATTCTTGATCGGTCAACGTATTTTTCTGCATTTGGGCCTGATCTTGATGGTCTTAGAGGGGTAAATTTTCTTGTATGGTACACGGTGTTGCAAGTCCCTGGTGAAAGAAGACTGAGAATCTATCTCTAGTTTTTTGTTTGTAATCTTGTAATGAACAACTTTTGAATAAACTTTAAATTTCTATAAGTGCGAGTAT